CCTTCGACAAAATGACACAACAAATCATCTTAATATCAATAATTACCTCCTTTGTGATATATTTATTTATGTATTTTGTTCACGATATAGTTTTTATCCGTTAGGAAAATAAGCAAAGGACTTTACCTCGGATTTAGACTAAAATATATGTAAATGATACTATAATATACCGTAAACTAACGCTTAGATTTGTTTTATCTGTTCTATTCTATTAACTTTAACAACTTAACTAAGTCTTTTAGCAACATATACTAGAAAAAAAAGAAGAGAAGATACCAAGAAGAGAAAGAATACGACATACCGTATTCTTCTTCGATCTCTTATAAGAGAAGTAGTAGAAACAAGTAGAACGGGCCACGTGTGCTCTAAACAGTGCTAAATCGTGTGTATTACATAATGACATTTGTAATCCGCAATCAATGATGTGAGCAGCATTAACTATTCATCCACAACTCGGCCGATATTGCATTAGCGGTTATATGTTTATTAGTTAGCCATCACGACTTAATCCCTCTCATTAGAAAACCAAACATCAAATATAGGTATAAATGTATCATCCATACTAATATTATAAATTTGAAAGTATGTTTGTTTGGTTGTCCTTCTTTCACGTCGATACAGAGTAACGGATTCGCGTGATTTTTTATGTGAAGATAGTTGGAGGGTTGAAGAGTGAGTTTATCTATAATTCTCACGGGAAAACACGTTATAATACAGTCCAAAAAAATATTAATGATCAGAATTACTTGAAACTTGGTATTAATGCTCTTTAATAAAATAAAATACATACGTGCTTTAGCATTTTTCTAAATTCGTCCTATAAGGGGGTAAAATAGGGGATGAAAGTTTGTATGAAACTACCTTTGTAGATTTTTTTTTGTAGTTTTAGCGCGAGCAAAGCCGCGAGTTCTGCTAGTATTATTATATGTTGAATGGCAGCGCAGAAACTGCGGTAGATCGTGAATTCGATTCGCGGTGAAATATTTTTGATAGATCTACAAAGATTAGTTATGATAAGTATTAAGGCAAAATCCTAAATAAGATTTGAGATACTTTATATTTTTTACTAAGAACTAAGTCTATGGTATTTATTGTTTTTTAATTATTATTTTTTCTATACCGAAACATTAAATAAGTTATATTAAATAGACATGTCGTCAAAAGAGAATTTATATATGTTAATAACTACGTAGAGACAAGTTCTGTTCACCGTCTGTTACAGTCTATATTCGAATTGAACGTTTTGAATTTGTCATTTTATGTGCAATATTTTACAAGAAATTTATAATGTTTTATTCACAATATGCACTTTACAATATAAATATAACTAAACCTGTACCTAAGTGTTTTTTTATTACTAAAACACTAAACTTTTGTTAAAAGTACTAGAAGATACACAATTTGCGACAAAAAATCTCCTCACCGAATGAGCGCTCATTTGAACATTTGAGCGCGCTTCCTATCGTTTTTTTTTTGTGAAAACAATTTTAAGCATTGCATTTAAGGTTCAATTTACATTGTTGTATATTTATTTCAACGAGAATAATTACCTAAACACAATTGGTGACAGTTTTAAGAGAACTACATAGGATTGTGTATCTAGTAGTTGTGTACATTTTGATCGATGAATACCGTATAGCTATTAATCGAACCATATAACTCCAATTTGTTTAACAACTTACAAACATTGATATAAACAGCTTAAAAATTTATCAATTTTGAATGAAAGAATGAATGAACGCTCGAATGGAATAGAGAAATGTCATCAAGTTGTGTCATTCATTTCATTGCTCGCATCATTTCAGTATGAAAGGGCTAAACGCTTGCAATGTGTAGTGACGAGTGGGAATGAGATGGGTTAATTATTTTCTTTTTGTGCGGGAACTGAATGCGAGATTGCTGTGATTACTCGCGACCTGGCATTGAGTAGGTGAGCGTAGATGTGGCTTATTTGTTGCGATATTGTTTATACATTTTGTATAGCTTTTGGTACGGTATGAGACATTGATAGCTTATTGGTAACGCACTTGCTTGGGAAACCAAGTGAAGCTGATTCAAATCCTGGGTTTCGCATCTTTGATATTTTCATATGCGAATCATTTTCAACATGACAACCATTTGTTTTACACATATTACATATTATATAACATCGTGAGAAAATCTGCATGTCTGAGAGAACCTAGCAAGTTTTCGAAAGACACGTAAATTCCATCAATCCGTACTTGAGCAGCTTGGTGCGCTATGGCCTGATCCCCTTAGACTTGAAGGAAGGCCCATGCTCAGCAGTGGGAACTTAAAAAGGACTGAATATATCATGTATACTTCTTGGGAATTGCCAACTTTATGGACTTTCAGAATAGATTTCTAATTTGTTATCTCATATATAAAGGTGAAGAGATTGTTGGTTTCCACTCGCTAATCTATAGATCGACTGTTCCATTTAGAAAAAATCTTTTGACAAGTCGCGTGGTAAGTGGGATAGGGATATAAATATAAAAACGAGATAAACTATAAAAAATAAAATTAAAGAAATGATTTTTATGATATGCAATCATGATATCACATAAATATTGCAAGAGTTGACGAATCAAAAATTAAACTGACAATAGATTAAAAAGTATCTTACATCGACTTCAAAATTATTTAAAAGTTATTATATAATCTCTCGAGGTATATCTAGGCCTCATCCACTCCAAAAAATATAAAAATCAATTCACAATTGACTAAGATATCACGAAACATACACACAAACACACATAAAAAAAACATAAAACCAAATTATCTTCTCCTTTTTAAAGTCGGTTACAAATAGGCATTAACAAGACGATACAAAATAAAGACAGCGTGCAATTTTATTCTATGACAAGACGCCTGAAAGAGCTTTCACACCGTACAATGACTGCGATTCAGCAAACACATTTTTAATTAGCGACATTCAGACGTGTTTGCTTACGAAATTTAAGTACGATTCAACTTAGCGATGGAATTATTTATTTTAAATACATTTTTGCCTATCTATTTATTGAGAGCAATATTTTACTTAGTATTTTAACTTACCCTGCCTTCGCTCGGATACGTTCCTAAATAAAGGTAGCCTATGTGTTACTCCAGGTCATAGTATATCTGTCTACCTATTATTTTATATCCAAATCAGTTCACCTGTTTAAGAGTAGGAGTAACAAACATACATACAAACATACACACACGCACAAACGTATACAAACTTCGATATTTCAGCATATTACTTTTACTAAGTAAATGTGTTGAATTTAACTGAAATATTTGTATAACTTATCGTGAAAGAAAATGCCTCTAAGGTTTGATTTTATTATATCTTAAAGCATATTTCATACATAATTTATTGCTACGTAGCATAAAAATTAGTAAATTTATGTTAAAATAATATATGTTTATATTCTTTTTATATATAACTAGCAGAACCCGCCGCTTTGCTCGCGCTAAAACTACAAAAAAAATATCTAAAGGTATTTTCATACAAACTTTCATCCCTCATTTTAACGCCATATAGAATGAATTTCGAAAAATGCTATAACACGTATTTATTTAATTTTATTGAAGAGTATTAATGCAAAGTTTCAAGTAATTCTGATCATAAATATTTTTTTGGATTGTAATATAACGTGTTTTCCCGTGGGAATTAGATAAATCTCCCGCGGTAAAAAGTAGCCTATGTCACTTTCTCCAGCCTTCCGACTATCTCCACACAAAAAACCACGCCATTCCGTCTCTCCGCTTCGTCGTGAAATAAGGACAGACAAACAAACAAACACACTTTCACATTTATAATATTAGTATGGATATGTTAATTAAATAGTAAAAATTAAAACACTATTTAAAGAACTTATAAATATGAAAGTTTAATATACGCTACGTAACGACATCTATGATTTACAGTATGAACTAAAATTCTAATATTTATTCCTAATTTTTGTATTACAACAGTGAATGTGATTGGTGAATATAAATGGGAATGAATATAGAAATAGACGTAGACTGAGAAAGGTATGGAGGGATTTTATGAAAGGGGACATATGTATGTGTGGGGAGTATGAAAATAGAAGGTGGAAGAAAGAAACATGTGACCTAATACTTTCTTAGATTTACGCGAATACTTGACATTTTAAATAAAACCTTCAAGACATGTAACACCTCAGTCTCTCCTGTGACCATGATTGCTGTAAAGCATTCGAAACGTCGGGAACCAAAAATCAAAATAAATTCGCGAAAAAATCCGAAAAGATAGTTTTATTTAACATGTGATCTCCTCACGAGTGAGATAAGAAGAGAAGGAGTAAAGAAGAAGAAGAATAAACGTGTAGATGACATCTATAGGTATGTAAATAATTATATATACATTTTTCTATGTTTCAACAGACATACCCGCGTAATTTACGTATATGGCTATGTCCACTTACAATTTAATATTTTATATTTGATTCGTTATACAATAGAAAAGGAATATTAGTATTAATTTCAATTCAAAAATATAAGTTACGAATGTATAGATAATATGATTATTGCCTTTAGACCGACTTAATAAAGAGCTACTCAACTTAGATTTATGTTTTTTTTGTAGATTGTAATTTTACTCGATATTTTCGTGAATTGTGCAGCAATTTTAATGATTAATTTAAACCATGTCAAAAAAAAATACTACTACACTTAATGTGTTCAAATCACATTTAAAGTGACTTTGAACTTTTCACTAAATAATATAAATTAAAGTTAAGATAAACTACTTGACTACCGTTGGGATTTTCATACTATTTTCATAAATAAAAAGAAGAATTATCTAGAAAGGCTGTAATTTATAGACATTTTTCAATAAAAAAGTGAGAAAAGATCTCTTTTAGTTAAGTTTTAATTAAACAGACAGACAAATGCAGTGGACGGACAACGAAGTCATTCTAAGGGTCCTTTTTTGCCTTTAGAGGTACAAAACCTTATACATTAACTATTCTAAAATATATATCACGTACTTGTGGAGTAGTCCTTATGGGAGTTTTGGGCTGTAACCGCTGCAAGTGGTTCGGAAGCCGCTCTTCGCTGTTCTTCATGTGTTTTGCCTGTATGTCTGCTTTCACTTTGTTCTCTTGATTATTATTTGTTGTTCTATTCATCTACAAATGTACTAGGCATTAGTATGAAGATAACATCTCACATTTATAAAAATATACATATAGTGTAAAAATATATATATGTACAAATTAATATATGTATAATACTTTACAACCAAACTCTAGGGACCGTTTCCATTATATCGAGTGGAGAAAGAAAAATAACAGAAAGTATACATTCAATAATACATATATACGAGTACAATAATTTTTAATTTTAATTTAATCATTTATTTCAGGCAATATTTACAAAAAGATCTTAAATATGTAAACAGAGGCCCATAACATATATACCTTAAAAACGAACATATATATTAATTTTAAAAACTAAAAAACTATTTAACACATAGTGTAGACGTGTCAGCGGGCAAACGACCTCGGAACTTCCGAAACAAGACGCCCTGCGGCTGAAGTCCTCCTTCATGAAGGTTGGTAGTTGATGAGTCGGCACTCTCACCAAAAACGAATTGAAGCTCGTTTTGTGGCGAGGTACCAGCCGTTCAACCCTCAATTTGAAGTTGGACCTCTTCTGGACGTAGTCTACGACATCCTCGACCTTCGTAGACCAGTGCAATCGGGACACATACAGCGGCGTTGATGTAATGTAATACGTACATATTTTAGATAATTGAGTTAATCTTAACATATTATATTAGCGATTTTTGTTCGCAATTTCATTTGAATTTTTTTTATAGTAAGAAATTACATTAAAAAAAAAATAATGTACATACCATACTCTCATTTCTTCTAATAATTTCTAATTGCTGTTCTCGAGCGATCGCTTGTCGTATGGCGGGCGGGGGCTTGATACGTTCTTCTGAGCCTGGACGCAACATGTACAATTTATTGTTTCCATATTAACATTGTTAATAATAATAATAATTTCTCTCTATCAATACTAATCTCATTGAGACAATTAAACAGCGCAGGAGTTACTATAAGGCAGTGTGTGTGTGTGTGTGTGTGTGTGTGTGTGTGTGTGTGTGTGTGTGCATGCATTATCTATCTTTTATAAAATCTAATAAAACGATTCTTCAATTTTCGTGGTGACAATTAAGGCGCAGGACCACCGCGATACGTTCTCTCTTAGGCACCGAGGGTAAAATACCGACAACTTCCCAGATACCGTCTTATTTATAACTAGCGACTCACCGTCTCGGTTTCGTCTCTAGGTACGTTTTATTTTTTTAGAGCGGAACCTTAATTCTTTTTCTAAAATAAAAGTAGCCTAACTTACTCCTTGTAATATCAGCTGCCAATGAAGGTCTTGATAAAATTTGTCCAGTCATTTCGGCGATTAGCCGGAACACACACACACAGAGACAGACAGATACACAAAAAAATTAAAAATCGTGTTTTTCTTATAAGTACCATATATAATTTCATTTTATGCATTTAGTGAAAAGCTGTTATTTTGACATTACAAACAGACACTTTCATTTTATTTATCTGTATAGATTATAATCTAATACTTTACCAAAGAAAGCAATCTTATATATGTCCGGCTCGAGCACGTATGCGTAGAGGCCGTCCGCGCCGCGCTGCTGCGAGTACGCCAGCCCGTAGTCGCACATGGCGCCGGCGCACGCGCGCAGCGCACGCTTCTCACTGTCGCTGCACAGCTATAGTTCATTGACAATGTATTAGGACTCCATTTTAATCTAATTTGTAAGTTTTATAATGTTGAACATACCAAAGTTTCAAAATAGTGTGTAAGTCACAAGTATTATAGGTGATTTTATGAGTTTAGTGTTAGGTTTAAATCGTGGGTCTATTTAAGTTTATGTAGTTAAGTAAGCCGAAATTAGGAAATTTGGCCCCCGCATCAAAACACGAAATTCTTAGTTAATTTTATATAACGAACAGTTTTCAGGTACGACACAAAGCGGCACATTTACCACAAACAAAAATAAAAAAAAAACACATCAAACTGCAAGTTGTTGGACCTGAGCTTGATCGTCAGCAGGCACAACAGTACCGGCATCTTTGCACAAGTACAAACAAAATTAAAAAAAAGCAGCACCTGCACGTTGGCGGACCGGAGCCGGGGCGCCAGCAAGTACGGCAGCAGCGGCAGCACGTCGAGGCGCAGCGCGCCCGCGCCCGCGCCGCGCCCCACCGCCGCGCCGCGGCACACCGACCACAGGATACTATCCAACTCCGCTTTCTTACGGGACATCTGCAAGTCGTTTAAATCTATACATAAAATATAAATAGCACCCAAAACAATGATTTTTAGAATTTTTGTCTGTTTGTCTGTGCGTTTGTGCGCGCTAATCTCAGAAACGGCTTAGCCGATTTGGTTGTGGTTTTCACTAATATATTATAGTAAGCTTCACTTAACATTTAGTATTTGTTCATAAATAAAAAAAAGTTACGTCAATTTAAAGTATCCCCTAAGGACGAACTCGAGCGGAACGAGGGTGAGTCGCTAGTTTAAATAAATAAATATGTCAGGACATTAACACACAGCACCGTCTAGTTTCATGGTAAGCTACGACGCTTATATTATGGATACCAGAAACTTGATACACTACACGTATATAACTTTAAATATATACATATTATAAATATAAACAATACAATGAAGTACAAACATTCGTGCTCATCACATAAATGAAAGCCTCCAGCGGGACTCGAACCCGCGACCGCTGGCACAGCAAGTAGGATGACTTCAAACTAAGCCAAACGTTTCGTCTTTCTTTTTTTATTATCTACTAACTAGAAAGTCTGGACCAGAGTTGCAGAAGCGTGTATATATTGGAAAGATTTGGTGGAGGCCTATACTAAAAAGCACGCGTAACTGCGTCACATAATATAGTTCTTCACCATCTTAAAAGAATTATAAGTATAAAAAATCCGGAATAAATGACTTATTATTATACTAACTAGAAGGTGCTAAAAGTAGCATTTGCCTTGCACGAAGCCTATTTATTTAGTACACAGACTATGACCTGAAGCCCAAGATCTGCATGGTAAATTTCATATAAATAAAATATATCAACGTGAAGAATCAGTTCATAAATAAAATACGTATGTTAATTTTGCCACCCAGGGACGAAGCCACCTAGCGGTTAGCCGCTAGTGACCAAATCTACACAGATACATAAAATTGAACTTTCTGTTTGTAATGTCAAAATAACAGCGTTTTACTAAATTCATATGAAATTATATACGGTACTTATAAGAAAAACACATTTTTTTAATTTTTGTCTATCTGTTTGTTCCGGATAATCTCTAAAACAGCTGGACTGATTTTGACGGGACTTTCATTGGAAGATAGCTGATGGAGTAACATACGCTACTTTTATTTTAGAAAAAGAATTTGGGGTTCCGCTCAGAAAAATTAAAACATACCAACGGATGAACCCGAGCGAAGCAAGGGTGAGTCGCTAATAAATAATAAATTATATAATGTATAATGATACAGTACATAAATCAAAATCAATACCTCTTGAGCCTGCATGGGAAATCTAACTTTTAGTCCTTGTCTAGAAGCCAGCACAGTGTGACATCTCACTATGCACAAAGGCAGTAGGGAATAAAGTGAGTAGTTTTGATTACGCAGTATCCAACTGTGGACCGTGTCGTAGAACCTTAGCCAAGACGTTGTCTCGCAAGCTATTAATAATCTCGCATCCACTCGTGCTGAGAGATAGTTCTCGAATATTCCATCTACTAATCTGCAAAAACATCATCAAAATTGGTTTATTGTTTTTTGTTTTTTTTTTACTTGTGATTAATATTTTTAGACATTTTAATAACAGCTGATCAAAGGTTTAGACTATACAAATTGTCAATGAAATTTCATTTTTAAAAGAAAATTTAAATCTATACAGATAAATAAAATTAAAGTGTCTGTTTGTAATTACAAAATAACAACTTTTTATTAAATGCATATAAAATTATAAACGGTACTTATAAGAAAAACAACATTTTTAAAATTTTTGTCGGTCTGTCTGTGTGTTCTGGCTAATCTTCGAAACGACTAGACTGATTTTGACAGGACTTTCACTGGCAGATAGTTGATGTTATAAGGAGTAACTTAGGCTACTTTTATTTTAGAATAAGAATTAGGGTCCCGTTCAAAAAAATGAAAACGTACCTAGGAGAGAACGTACATGAGACAAACCCGAGCGAAGCGAGTGTAAGTCACTAGTATACAAAAATATTTATGCATATATATTTGTCTATACATAGCTATATATCTATATATGTAAATTTCTATACATAGATATAAAGAAACCCACACTAACCTATCATATTCCCCGGCAGCTTGCACCGTCTTCATAATCGCATTTGGGTCAGTATCATTTATAGTGAAGATCGCTTGTAATGCCTGCATCACGCTCTTTGTATGGTCTTTTGTTCCTATTGATATTTTCTCTATTTCCTCCACTGTTATCTGCAAAGTAAATTAATAAGTTCTAACTGACTCAAATATGTTTTTTATACAGTAAAATATCTAAAATTGCACAATTGTCTTGTAATATGTTCTAAAATATAAGAATTTAAAGTGTTTTTAAATAATATAACTTTGAAGTATTAAAACATTCTGAATAAACCTGTATATCTATGATAATCTAGCTAGTTTTTAAAAGACGTGTGAAATCTACCAAACGTACATACGCCCCACACGACTGCCATGTCTAAGTTAGACAGCTGTATGTTTAAATAGACTGTAGCATTATTATGATAATTATACCTGCGTCTCTTAAACTGCCTCGCTGGTCTAGTAGCTAGCATGTATGGTTGCATATCTGGAGGTCTTAGGTTCCATTCCCAGATTGGGTCTACTTTAGTTAATGAATATTTCTGTTAAGAAATTCCCAGTAAGAGTTAGAAGTTTGGAAAGTTCGCGATGTTACAGCTGTGTTTTTGAGAGTGACAGGAACTGATAGTGCACTCGTGTTTGTACATTTGTGCACTATAATATCTCCAGCGCAGTTGGCTAGTCTTAATGAAGGTCGTCGCAGCCAAATTTATTCTAGAAGACATCATCATCAAATCTAAACCAAACAATGGTATATAAAGGCATAAAATAATAATAAAGCGTTGATCAAAAAGGTATAAAATAGACAATCCCATTCAAAAGTTCTCTTAAAAATATCACTGATTGTTCTTAGGTAATTATTCCAGTTGAAATAAATATACAAAAATGCAAATTGAACCTTACACGCGACGCTTAAAGTTATTTTCACAAAAAATTAAAAATGAAAGCGCGCTCAAATGTTTAAATAAGCGACATTTTGTGTCGCAGATTCGTCTATGTAGTACTTTTTTTTATTGATGTAATAAACATAACAACAATTCCACCTGCGTGCCCATCGCCTTGACGAAGCTGAGCGCGTGCAGCGCGGCGCGCACGTCGCCGGCGGCGCGCGCGGCCAGCAGCGCCAGCGCGCGCGGCGCCGCGCGCACGCGCTCCCCGCGCGCCACCGCGCGCAGCCGCGCCAGCAGCCGGCTCGCGCTCACGCACCCCACCGACACCGTCAGCGATACTGGCCTGGAATGTTCAATGTGTATATTCATGTACGATCCGGAGATACCGATAAAAGCGTTTATAATACACTAAATAACTATTTATTCTATTAAAATTATAAAACACAATGTTGTATTGTATTGTCGTGTCGCCATTACGACATATCATTCTACTTTTCGTTTAGTCATCTTTCACTCCATTCCATTTTTAAAATTAAATTATACATCTCCTTTTATACTTAAGATATCATTTCACGCATACTCATCTCGCAAATCCCACATTAATATTATAAAGAGAAAATAAAATTGTTTGTAATGGATAAATTAAAAGTTTCAAGATCCCGGGTAAGACATAAGATAGTTTTTATCCCGAAAATCATCCCTTAAAGGGATAAAAAGGGGGGTGGAAGTTCGTACAGGGAATCAATCATTTCTCAAGTAAAGTATTTAAAACTCATTATACCTATGTATATATAGTCTATCTATTCCATACTATCTAGGGACGAATAGAATAGAAACTTATAGCTTCCTAAATAATATTCCCTTGTTTTATAATCTCTTTATGTACAAACAGAAACACAAGCAAACAAGTTAAAATATAATTGTATTAAATTTTATTCCATTCCTATAATATAATATTTAAAAAGAAAATATTAAACTAAACGCTAATACTCATTATGAATTCAAACTGTCTTACCTTAGTGGTCTTAAGGATGTTGCATACAAATCATTACATATAGCGATTACTGGCCGTCTTAAGGGCTGCGACTTGCCCTTCCCCTTTTTGCCTTCCTCCTTCTTATGAGCTGTAGCGGTACACCATTTGACTAATAACTCCACTGTTTGTATTGGAGCGCCGTCTATTTCATCTGAAATAGGTTATCTATATATATATAATAAAATGTTGAAGTCTGTACATAGGAAAAAAATGCTAAAAACCGAGTCAGGGGGCTTTAAGAAATGAAATACTCATAGAACAAATCCAGATTTTTTATTTTTTTGGTTTCTCTGTTTGTCTGTTTGAACGGGCTAATCTCCGAAACTGTTGGACCGATTTATATGAAATTTTGCATGGTTGTACCTTAGTTCTTCAACATTTTAGATACTTTTCGTCCCAGAAAATTAAAGATTTCCCGAGAGATAGTTAAAAAACTATAGTAATTTATACAGTTTAACACACAAAACTACTGATTGGATTTTAATGAAACTTTACAATAATATAGTTCTTACATCAGAATAACAAATAGGCTACTTTTTATCCCGGAAAAATCCCGAAAAAAAATCCCGGAAAAAGATTTGTATTTGTTTGTCACTTGTTGACTAATAAATTATTTATATAAATACAAATTGACCAGAATTATTAAAAAAAAACAATGCTCATAGAAAATCGGAAATTAAAAATAAATAATTTATGTCAGGTGTATATATAATATAAACGGAAATTTAATTTAATCTCAAACACAATATTTTTTAAGCAACTCTCATACATATATAAATGCAAAACACCACACACTCACTCATTAACCATAAACGTCCAGAAAATTTCTAATAAGTAATGGGAAGGGTATGTAGTAAGAAAGGATTTAGTAAATTTCTAAAATATCTGTTATTTTTTTAAAGTTACAGTGACCAAAAGTACCAGTAATATATTTGATTAAAATCAATTATATTCTAATTCAAAGTTTTAGGCATTACATCGTCTGGGAATGAAAAATAGGGCATGACATGAAATTGCAGATTTCTTCATGTTAAAGGTAAGAAATATGATATATTAATAGACTAAGAAAGGATTTCTATTAACATTATAAATACAAAATGCAACGCGACACATCTAAGAGAAGAAAGAGTAAATCACTTTTTGTTAATAATTAAATAATTACCTAATATAAGACAGTTAGGTCGTTTTTCAGAATCCAGCACTGATCTCATCAGTGTGGCACTTTGTAATGCATTTTGGAATGCTTCGGTACTGCGCTCATCAGATGCATTTATTTCCACTGGTCTGTAGCCTGGTAATGATGTTGAAAATGTATATAAGAATAACTTTATAAATATTATGTAAATAAGAAACAAAATAAGGAATATATTTCATCTTTATTTATATCAGACGCATACTCCCTATTGTATGTTTTTTTTCCTTTAAAGTTCCATAATCACCTTATCTCAGTATATTATTTTAATCTGGAGTTTGTTTATCTCTTTGAATGCCCTAACTCTAAAATTAAGTAATTTAAATTTTTACATTTTTTTGCCTATTTATTGATTGAAAGTTACAGGCCATTTAACATAATGTCAGTCCTTATGACTGGAGAATTTATACAAAAATAAATTAAGCGAGCAGAGACGCCAGCAAAAGTTAGTACTTGAATAAACATCTTACCTGCCAATCTCGCCAACAAATGTGCCAAAGTGGTCTTGCCAACACCAGGAGGTCCACATAACAAGGCAACTTTATGATGTGGGCGACCATCTTCATCGACTTCTGGCTCATTCTCCTTTTTACCCTTCCATTTATTACTCAATTGGAACTGGCCGGTGCGCTTACTGAATGTATTGCGTTGCTGTGGCTCCGTTGTTTTGACCTCTTTCTTGAATACTATCTGAAATTAGATTAAAGATATATGTTAATTCGTATTGTTACATTTGTTATCCCCCAAACCATGTCTCCACCTTGAACATGGTATGCGTAAATGCATTTTCTAATGTTAGAAAGTCATGTACTTACTTAAGCTTGCCAACGGGATTTAAAAAAAAAAACAGTCTTTATTTAAACAACACAATGGTAACAAATACACACAGCCCTAACTCCTGAACTAGAAAACTGTGTTTCAGGAGCTAGTACCTTCCCATATCAGGCGTACATATTCATTGCATGAAATTACGTTATAATAAGGTAAGTTAATGTAAACAAAAAAGATAGAAAGGATTTTAATCAAAGTTAATAATTTACTTCATTATAGAAATATTAAAGAACAAATCAAACATTCTTTACTGCAGACCAAAAATTTACATGACATATATTAGTTATTAGCACAAAGCAAAGCCATGACCATTCAATTTAAAATGAATGTTGATTAGGGTGCCCAGACATATAGAATGAGGAGCATAAATATAAAAAATATGTTAATTTGATGTATTCACTATTTATATTTCTTTAAAAGAATAAATTACATCAAGTCATTTAGTTAACATCAATTGTATTTTGTAATATTTGTGTGTACAACTTCTGATTAGGTGAACTAAATTTATTATATTGTTTAATATATGTAGTGTGCAACAAAAATATGTTTACCACCGAAAGGCAATAAATTATCAAAATCGGTCAAGTGCGAGTCGGACTTGCACATGAAGATTTCCATATCATAATCGATTATTTTTAAATTGCAAGGCAGCCTTTTTGAAATTCGCCATCTTGTTTTTTTTTTATTATTTGTTGTTATAGCAGCAATAGAAATACACTTTGTGAAAATTTCAACTCTTTACGTATTACAGTTCATGAGATACAACCCTCTGACAGACGAATGGACAGACGGATGGACACTTAGTATGTTATGTTGGCACCGTTCGGATATGGAACCCCAAAAAAATTGCCTATGTGTCAATACATAATATATTATCTTCTCTCATACAATTAGTTACATTATAAATATATATATAAAGTAAATACAGCCGATGCAAATATTTAAATAAAATTATATCTAACTTTACCTTGTCCCATAAATGAAGCCAATGTAACAAGGCCCTATTCACTGGTTCTTCTGATAATAAGTCCACATAAGATTTCGGTCTGTACTTCTCCACCCACAATTCACTCATAACATTAGTTGTTACTTCTTGAATAGATTCAGTTGATTCTTTTTGTTGCTGTTTTTTTTCTAACTGTAATTAATTATATTAAAAAAATATTTAATATATGAATTATTATAAAAATTAAATGTATCTATCTTTTAAAAGAAGAACATGTTGACGGATTGTTTTATTTCTACATCAATATACCAACAACAAACCACTGAAATATTATAAAATAAGGATTTTAATAACAATACATTATAGTAAAAATTTTACATAATGGACATGGTATTCAGAATTTTCTGAAAACGACATATAACTAATTACAAATGAAACATTAAAAAAAAAGAATATTATGGTTAAACTGGTTACCTCTTTTCCTTGTTTTTTTTTATTTTATGAAGTTTTAGATTTTTTCCTACATTAATTAGTAGGGTTTAAAAGAATAAATTTTTGTTTTTCATGTAAGAACATCTAAGAATTGAATTAAATTCAAATATTCAAAAATATCTTACAATTTTCCTAGCTTCCTCCCAGACTGAAGCAAATGTAGTTCGTAAAGTTAATTTTTCTGTTGTAGTATCTAGGACCTCTTCCCAAGCATCTTCTGTTAATAGTCTCACATAAACTCTTTCCCCATCCCAATTTGTAATAGGAATAAAAGGCCACCTAAAAGAAGAATAGCAATACACCTTTTTTATTACACAATTTAAATATTATACAGTATATATTCATCAATCAAATAAGGTATAGTAAGGTAACTTTAGAAGTTGAATTTCAAGATATCTATACATATAATAAAATTGTGACTGAGTCGAATCTGTACATGAAATATTTTTCGGAAAATCTAATTGAAATAGACATTATTATCGATACATAGTCCGAATCTATAGTTTTTAGAATTTTTGTTTGTCTGTCTGTTACAAAATCACGAGACAACCGCTGAACAGATTTTGATGAAATTTAATATGATGATAGCTGGTTATCCGGGTCAACATATAGGATACTTTTTAATGCGGGAAAATATGTCATTTCTGAGAAAAAATACTAAAACTGCATTGTAAGAGTATACTAATCTGTAAAACCTAAGAATTTGGTTTTTGGTCATCTGAACGCGGGCGGAGCCGCGGGCAATGCTAGTCTTATATATAATTAATGATAAAAAGATTATTTGATATTTTGATTAACAGTAAAATAATAAATTGTTTTTACAAACATTGGAACATTCATTGTGACATTTTCTTTTATATTATAATTGGGTTTCGTCTCTTTAAATCCCCTGCCTGAAGGTTCCGCCAACATTTGCCTTATTTTTCTCCCTTCAATAATTTTATTAATTAAATCCATGTCACTTTCTTCTTCAGTTTTTTGTCTTTTACTAGGCAGTTCTATATTGTCAAAATCTATATCATTAATATCACCAAACAAATCTTCAGCCGTTCTCTTATTAGAAACATTAGGCGTAAGGACATCATCTAATTGTTGTAGACTTGGTGTTAAGCTTATTGTAGTATCTCCATTATGTACTGAATTGTCTTTAGAGTGACTAATTTCACTGGTAGTAGATTTGTTTGTAGAAGGAGGACTTGTAAAATCAAGACTTCTTTTGGACTGGAAGGATTTCTTTTTAATTTTGTTTTCATTGGAACCTATAAATAGATTGAATTTTAAGTTTTAGTAATGAAACGTAATATATAAAAAAATCGAAAATATTTGAAAGAGAGTTTTATTTAAAGTGATAAATAATTTATGTATGTAAGTTTTATATATAAAATGTTATCACCTGTGTGCTCGTCCATTTCACGTAATAACTCCAAATCATCAGAATACATGAGCTCATATTCCTCGTCAGGATCTGGATATTCATCCATGATGTGGTTTTATTAATGTTCTCTTTGATAAATTTTATATGATAAATGTTGGATTTCTAAAGGTACCTATAATAATTTTTATCATATATACTTAAGATATAACGTGTATCACTATTTAAATAATGTTAAATAAAAATTAGATAGATTATTTAGAAAATACGAAGAAACGTAATATTAAAACAATGAAAAAAAAAACAAAATTCTAAAATAATAAAAAAACCGCCAAATTTCATTTGACTTTGACTTTTGACAGTTTTCACTGCAAGTTTGACAATAGCATATTATCTATGCTAAAAATAACAGTCTGATTAAATAAAAATAAGTTTTTAGGCGTTTTCCAATGGGGAATATTTCTGGAAAGGAGGACGCCACACGTATGGCCTATTTACATTCAGTCTGAGGTTAAGCAATTTATTATGATATCGTGATTTGATGTGGTCATGATATAGTGGTTTTTTGCTTCTATTGTTCACCTCTTACCTGTGCAATGTATTGCGCCTAGAAATTAGACTAGCTGAAAAGAACACTTCTTATATTTTCTGCTACTGAGTTGGTATCCGTTGCGCGCATCACGCCAAAGTAGTACTTTTCAAAGTGCTCGGTTGTGTGTACCGTTGCTCTAATTGATACATTCGAGGTTGAGCATTATGCCGCATAGTGCGCTTTAGTACTATAATTAGAAAGCTACCATAGTTAATAGTTGTTATCCAATTAAAGCGCATAATGCCGCTCTTTAGCGCACAAACCCGAAATAACAGTTCTTATATTTTCTGCTACTGACAATAAATTGATAACCGTTGCGCGCTTCCTGTCAAAGCGGTACTTTTCAAAGTGCTCGATTGTGCGGAGCGTTGTTGAGCATTATGCTGCATAATGCACTTTAATGCTGTTATTGGAAAACGACCCTAATATAGTTTTAATTGCAATGTATATTTTTGCGTGTAAACTTTCCTAATGAATAAAATTGGCGAGGGCTTCAAACTGCTCTTTTCATATTTTAATTTTTGTATTTTCGAAATTGACCTGGTGCTTATTTTGGTAAGTAATATAACAGAGGTACTAATTTATTTATCATTTTATTTCTATTGTCACTTTGTTATATGGGCTTTGAAATTAATTATGATCATGATTTTAAATTAAAATTGAATAAAAACACATTTAAATAAAAGGTAAATAAAACACAATATATTTTGTATATACGAAATTTTTTTAATAATAAGGTATATTTACAGTAGGTTAATTAACAAACGTGAGTTACATGAATAATTAGAAGAGGTACCAGAATTGTATTACCATCAAAGTTGCACTCCCACACTTTCAAATATCGTAGGTATGTAGGTACTATATTTAAGGAGATCATCGGGGCTTGAATGAACGTCAGGGCTTACATTTTAAAATATCATTATTCATCAAAATTGGAATGTACATTACTATCTTACTTATCTTCAAATTTGGATCTAATTAAGACAAAATGAGCTGCAATGTTCAACAAAATTTATTTCACTTTCTTGGTAAAGAAATACATAATTATAACACTGGCTTAGTACTTGTTTATTCCAATATAAGTCACAATCAATCTTCAAATTGCAATTAGCAGCCGACCTGAACTATAACAAACGTTTAAAATAAATATTTAAATTTCCATTATTTTTTGCAGACGGCATCAAATTTGTGTTAGATCTAAGATAGATACAATTTCTACCACAAATTATATGATCTTATTCGTATCTTAATCGTAATCTTCACCATTAATAACAAAAACCGTAAAAAATAAAGAAATATAACAAAACAGCACTATAACACCAACAAAAGCTATATAAATTCAATCAAAAACATCACAGACATCTACTATACCCAATCTTTAATGAGTTTGGAATATTTTTTGAGATTCTTTTTATTAATAAATACTTTCTATCCTTATGAACATTCACTTCACTAAACAATTTCCTTACACTACGACACTCGGTGCTACTAAAAATCTATTCAAAGAATTGATAATAATTAAGTTTTAAACATATCCTATGTCTAGGCGTAGATATTGTGTAATACACATAAGGTAATTGAAATGAATATACGTAATCAATAAATAAAGTATGTAATCAAGAATAGAAGAAATATTGTGTTTATCAGAATTCTGTTGTTGAAGGTTTAAAAATCCGTATATGTCATGTACAATATGAATTATATAGGTACTTATTTTTTTTATATATATATATATATATATATATATACTGTAATCATCCAATCCAAGAGCTTGTTACTAAAAGATGGTTTAATATAGTTTCAAACAATAAGTAGCACTGCATAATATACCGCAACGAAACCTTACGCTACGCCTGTGTTACATGGCTTGTAGCAAGACGTAGTCCAGTCCGTCATATGAGCTATAATTAACTTTGTCTATTAAATTTGATTTTGCTTTTTCTCCATATTTCCTACTTTTATTATAACTAGACATTTTCCACCTTAAAACGCCAAGCTCTCTAAATATAATTTAATTTTAAGCAACAAACTTTCAAATTAGTGTCGACAATTCGGTGTCTACACTATGGTATACGTTTCTATCGTACTTGCTTTATTTCTATATCTTACTATGAAATTCATAGTTTTAGACCGAGTGCCACTCAGGCGTATTTAATACCTGCCGTCATTTGTCTAAGCTAGATTAATATTAAGGACTTATCATATTTTTATCGTTATTACTGTACAAAACGCTTATTCATCCGCAAAATTTTACCTATTTGTTACATAATATATTTCATTGCCATGATCATTCCGCTTTGAGCCGGCCATTCGTACGTACACATTTTAAGAAGGGTTTACCGGTAAAATACGACAGTGTTACCACGTTATTGCATCCTCCCGCCTGCCAGACATTTTGCTAATATCATCTAACTATATGGCTTTACGATCATTCACTACATTACGAACTCTTAACTTACTAGCTAACCGCTGCGCTATTGGACTAGAACGCCGCTATGAGTGAGCAGCTTTGAAAATAAGATTATCAGACAATTACCTACAATATTACAGACATACAGAGAATACAGCACTGACTATTCATCGTGGGCTTCCCATAAATGAAATGTCTCCGAAATTTTAAGCTATTTCCGAACATAACGTATGACGAGAGATAACCGTATGCATACTTCGTCTATGTTCAAGAATTATATAAGGACAGTATCAGTATATTATATTAGTATAAAAGTCATATTTTATGACTCTTTCTCCTTTTCTTCTGTGTAAAATTGTGTTATTATCACATTTTAAAATCTTTGGAATACGCCTGTGTATTTAGTCTCATCTGAACCCGTCGTCTTAATTTTGGCTACAGTCTTACAAAAAGCCTTGGTCAATCATGTGAAGATGTTTTTTGCTGAGCAAAGTAATTTAAAATATCCATTTGGATCTGTAATGAGATGTTTGAGAAAAGTTTAATTTTATTTTTATTCTTCTCAAAGGGAATCAAATAGAGAAGTTACTATGAGATGCTAAAAGAGCCTTCCCGCTCAGACTATCAACGATCACACATTATGCTAATTTATTTATCCAATTTGTTCCTAAATTACCTATAAGTTTGATTAGTCGTCCATTTTACAATCGACGATTGACCAAGAGCTTCTGTAGATAAAAGCCGGCATCAAACACGACTCGGGCGGTCAGTCAGTGCTAGTCTGAGCACAGCGACCTCTGTGTGTCAGGCAGCCGAGAGTGCGTGGGGGGGCGCCGGGGCGGGGTGAGGGGGCGCGGGCGGGGGGCTGTCCACTGTGCCGCACGCCTTCAGCTCCGTGAAGACCTCAGTGAAGAAACCAGGCTCGGAGTTGATTCTTAACATGTTAAAAGACAGTCTGTCGACGATGAGAAGGCAACGATCCCAGAATTTGTCTTTCGAGTCTTCAACTAAGAAAGGCTTGAGGGGATAGGAGATCTCATTGCCCATATAGGAATATGAGAGATAGAGGCAGGTGAGGACGACCGCCTGTAGCTCCTGAGGGCGGGCTATCCGCTCCCCGTCGACCAGCTCTCTCACCAGCATGTACACGAAGACTACGTTTGCTGGGTTGATGAACGCCACGTCCTGGAATGAGCAAAGCGTATTATTAATATTGTGCCAGAAAAACATGACGACTTATCGGAATTCCTAAACTAATTTCTTTAATAAAACGAAGTACAATTTTGTATAATACATTATTATTTGTCATTGATAGCAAATTGAATAGAATTGATTTAATATACCATATCGCAAACATCTATTGTGGAGGAAAGTGGCTCATACGAGTATTCTCTAAAAACCTCGAAATTATTTTCATTAGTAACTGTACAATTCAATACAATGGCCGACTATAATAACTTTTGAAATAATATCTATTCACCTTGGACTGACCTATATTATGTTGATATCGATCGACATGATAATTGCATTAAAACAGCTACACGTGTCACTAGGTCTAAGAATTACTTTTACTTCAGATGAGTTGCTTCCACGTGACTTTATTAGTAGTCATCTAGTACTTAGTCTAATTTTAAACTAGAACATATAGTCCAAGATCCCAGGACCACCAACGACTATTGACGAACGAAATATGGACGAATGAGTAGTGTTAGTATGTAGTGTACTACGATCGCATGCCTACCTGCTAGCTTGGTTAGACGGCAAATTTCCAGGTATCAGGTAATCAAGGTAGGTACATAAAAATATTACTTACCTCACGTAAATTCTCCAAGTTGATTTTTACGTATATTTTAGACAATATCGTTAAAAATAAGTCGTCAATACTCCCAGACCCTTTCCGTCGGCCGTATTGCTTTGCAGACACTTTAAAGCTCCCAAAATAATTACTTAACTTCACGTAAATTCTGATGTTCCATTTTTATATATGTTCGCCAGACAACTATTTTAAACCCTTTTACAAGAAGACGGACCGATCCAAGGGACCAATCATCCCCTAAACTCAATTATAATGCCTCTGTGGGTAGGAGCGCGAGGACATTATTCACGAGCATGAGACTGAGTGAGACATGTATTAGCATATATTGACCTCTCTCTTTCTCTCTAAAATATACGTGAAAATCAACTTGGAGAATTTACGTGAGGTAAGTAGGTAATGTTTTTATTCATCTTGATTACGTGATACCTGGAAATTGGCCGTCTAACCAAGCTAGCAGGTAGGCATGCGATCGTAGTGTAGGATACCAACACTACTTAATCGGCCACCTTTCGCTCGTCAGAAAATACGTTACGTCTGGTGGCCCTGGGATCTTATTCTAATACGTTGTAAGTAAACAATATAAAAATGATGTATAAAACTAAAATAATTAATTTTTCACTATAAAGTGTACACCGACTTTAAATCACTCATTCAAAGACTTGCAAATTTTCTCATGATGTTTTCCTTCACCATAAGGGAAATAATTATTACACCCTTAAAGATATTTTTTAAATTCATCAGGACTACCTGTCATATTATGTAGGTACCTATTACCTACCTACTCGTAAAAAAATTGAAAAAAAAATGAAAATTGATTCACAAAAAAAAACAATTCGAAAATTGATTCACATTAGTGAAGTTATCGTGTATCACACGTAAAAACACACCCAACCGAATTGAAACTCCGCTCCTTTTGAAGTCGGCTAACAACTTTAGGTATTTCTTTCTTTATTACTCTTTAGTAGACTACTTCTACGTAGTAATTAGCTAGCTTAATTGTATGTAATCTTAATAGCTGGAGGTCATAAAACTAAAATAATAAACTCTACCAAAATTAACTTAATTAGAAGACTAATTCACGTAAAGTTTGTTTGGACTTGATGGTACTATTAGCTTATGCTCTTATATATGTAGATCTCATAAATGTCACCACAATGCCTACAAAAGTGAAGAGGAGTCTCATGAAACTCAAAGGAGTAAAATGTGTTAAAGCTAAAGGCTGTCTCTTATATTTATTTACTTAAATATTTAACTAACATTTTTAATTTTATCATCAAATGGTAAGATTTCATAAAATATGAAATGAACTACAAATGATACAAGTAACGGTTTAATAGAGCAGTAGGTAGTACATATATTATTATAGAGCAAGCACATATTTGACTAAATTAATTATTTTTAGATAGATAAAGGGTTCATTAGTTTATTATGAATGTTTTATTAACTGTTAAACAAGCATTTTTTGTGTAATAATATTGTTCATTGTAATTGTTCAAAGTAATATTAATATCTTAAGGGTATCAAGGTTTACAATCACTTGTAATTATATCAGTTTAATTTTTTTTTTCATCTCTAATATGATCTGATGAAAATAGTGTATCTTAAAAACACAGTTTTATTCTACTTTCTTATTTAATATTAATATGTAATATATTAAAAAAAATATTTTTTTCGACTTTCATATTTTTTACAGAACGGTCATGGAAGCTACTAAGTTGTTGACGTCTACCCACATAATGATACATAAATTTAGAAGAAAAGAGAAACGGTCAGAACGAAAATCAAAAGAAAACAGCGAGTTTTTAGTTTTTTTTTAAATTTAAAATGGATTTATTAAAATAATATAATAAGTACAAAATATTTCTGTTACATTGTACTCTAAAATCATTCATAAGTAGGTAGATCTATATAGAGATTGTATCCATAATTACATTAATAATTAATATTACAGCTTTACTTAATGTCGCTCACGTTAATAACTCAAACCTCAGTTGAACTCTCATTATATAATCTATACATAATATAATAAAATTCTGAGTCGAATTTGTACATTAAATATTTTTTGGAAAATCTTATTGAAACAGTTATTGTTATCGATACAAAGGCCTAATCGAGAGCTTGGTATGATAATATCTAGTTATCCAGGTCAACATATAAGATACTTTTTACTGGAAGAAAATATTTCAACATAATAAAGCAGAATAATATTATTTAGTATCGATTAAGTCTGATATAGTTCACGAAATTCCTAGTAAGTGACCAAACGCTACAAAAATAAAGTCGCCTTTGTTCTAAAGGGACTGGAACCTTTAAACGAGTCAATAGTTACGAGCTATTAAGCCACCTCGAAGTAGAAACCAAAATACATTTATTAATGAACTAGCATTGCCCGCGGCTCCGCCCGCGTTCTTATGACCAAAAATCAACAATTTTAGTTTTACATAAAATACTAAAGTATACTCTTACATTGCAGTTTTTGTATTTTTTCTCAAAGATGACATATTTTCCCGCGGTAAAAATTATCCTATATGTTGACCCGGATAACCAGCTATCACAATACCAAATTTCATCAAAATCCCTCCAGTGGTTTTCTGTGATGCGATAACAGACAGACAGACACAGACAGACAAAACCTCAAAAAACTATAGATTCGGCCTCAGTATCGATAATAATGTTTATTTCAATAAGATTATCCAAAAAAGTATTTAATGTACAGATTCGGCTGACAATTTTATTATATGTATAGATTACAATGTGTGTAAAAAATATATTTTTCATATTGCTATAAAGGAATTTATACTTTATACCTTTGAATTACAGTAATATATCCTTTATGATTAGGGCATATCTCTTCTATGTCACACATATAAGCTTTTCGAGAGACTGCTGCTGAACCGACTTACGACTGCTATTGACCCTAAACTAATCCCGGAGCAAGCCGGTTTCAGACCTATTAAGTCTTGCTGCAACCAGACCCTCAAACTCGTGCAATATATTGAGGATGGTTTCGAGGCAGGAATGGTCACAGGCGCTGTATTCGTCGACCTATCTTCAGCTTACGATACAGTTAACCTAAAACGTCTGTTGTGGAAGGTGGAGACCATGACAAATGACATGAATTTTGTCAAAATACTCCGAGAACTTCTTTACAACCGGCGTTTCCAAGTTCATCTCCTCTCAGAGAAAAGTCGTTGGAGATCACAAAAGAACGGACTACCCCAAGGTAGCGTTCTGGCTCCGCTTCTTTTTAATATATACACCAACGACCAACCATCTAGTCTAAACACGTCCCGCTTCCTCTATGCAGATGATCTTGCACTCACCTCCCAGGCCACCACTTTCGAGGAGGTCGAGGCGAACCTATCAAATGCTCTTACTAACTTAGATCAGTATTACTCCGCAAACTCGCTGAAACCAAATCCGAGCAAAACGCAATCCTGCGCATTTCACCTTCGCAATAGAGAGGCAGGGCGAAAATTAAACATTGTCTGGGGTGAGGTGTCTATTGAACACAGTAACTTCCCCAAATACCTTGGCATCACTCTGGACAGGTCACTCACCTTTCGTAAAAACTGCGAGAACATCAAGCAGAAAGTCCATAGCCGGAATCAAATCCTGCGTCGCCTAGTCACTTCTAGGTGGGGTGCCTCGCCTGATGTTCTGCGAACTACTGGGTTGGCCGTTTCCTTCGCTGCTGGTGAATATGCGTGCCCCGTGTGGTGCCGCTCTTCCCACGCAAAACTAGTGGATACAGCACTAAACGAAACGTGTCGTATTATTACTGGCTGTTTGAAACCGACTCCAATACCAATGCTGTACCCACTGGCAGGAATTGCGCCTCCAAAAGTGCGCAGAGCAGTGGCGAGCTCCAGTGAAAGGACCAAAATGGAACAAGACACGCGGCACCCCATGCACGACAACATCCTGGTGCCACAAAGGCTAAAAAGCCGTAAAAGTTTTATGAAGTGTGTCTTACCACTTGGAGATGAACGACCACTGGCAAGATGCAGGATGTGGCGGGACAGTTATGGTCCTTTGCCAATCCCATTTGTTCCACCGTCTGAGAATCTTGCGCCTGGACATAGTTTGCCTTGGCAGACCTGGAAGTCTCTCAACAGACTCCGGACTCAGGTTGGCCGAAGCAAGGAAAACTTGTCCAGGTGGGGATTTTCAGCGGGTGGCCTGGAGTGTAGATGTGGTACTGTTCCACAAACGATGAGGCACTTACTGGCATGCCCTGCTTGCCCTGTGACTTGCAGCTTACAGGAGCTTATGGACGCCACTGACAAAGCAACGATCGTGGCTGAGTTTTGGGCTGACTCCATTTAGAACTTGCCATCGACACGAGAAGAAGAAGATTAGGGCATTA